ATGGCACGACGTCAACGAGACGATCCGGAGCTGCGAGCCTTAATCGAGCACCTGGAAGGGCGCGGCGGCACCGTACCCCGTGTTTTCTCACGAGCCGTGCCGACCTTCGCCATTCGACAAGGTGTACTCTACAAAGAGAACTTCGGGGACAACAACTCGCCGTGGCTGCTGGTAATCCCAACCGACCTTCGAGGGGAGATCTTTCAAGCATGTCACGACGACCCGACGTCCGGACACCTTGGATACAGCCGGACACTGGCCCGTATTCGTGAAAAGTATTACTGGCCCAAGCTCCCCAAGACCGTCCACCTGTACACACGATCATGCCACGAGTGCCAGCGACGCAAGAAACCTCCGACGAGGCCGGCCGGACTCCTGCAGCCTATTTCTCCTCCAACTGCACCCTTCCAGCAGATCGGAATGGATCTACTTGGTCCTTTTCCGCCTTCGACGTCGGGGAACTGCTGGATCATCGTCGCCACAGATTATCTCACGCGGTACGCCGAAACGAAAGCTCTTCCTTCGGGGACTGCTGTGGAAGTTGCCAAGTTTTTCATTGAGTCCATCGTCCTCCGGCACGGCGCTCCAGAAGTTCTGATTACAGATCGCGGATCATCGTTCATGGCACAACTGACCCAAGAAATCCTCCGACTCAGTCACACCAGCCATCGTCGTACAACTGCGTACCACCCGCAGACCAACGGGCTGACGGAGCGACTCAACAAGACAATCGCCGATATGATCTCTATGTACGTCGACGTAGAGCACAAGACGTGGGACGAGGTGCTGCCCTACGTCACGTTCGCCTACAATACGGCGGTTCAAGAGACCACTGGATTCACCCCTTTCCAGCTGGTACATGGTCGGAAGGTAACGACCATGATGGACGCCATGCTGCCCCATGAGCCATCTGGCAACGAGAGCGACGACGTCCAGGCGGTTGCTCAACGCGCCGAAGAAGTTCGCCAGCTCGTCCGACTCCTGATTCAAGACCAGCAACGCGTCGACGCCGGCCGCTACAACCTTCGTCGCAGGGACGTCCACTTCCAGCCCGGAGATAGGGTGTGCGTATGGACGCCCATCCGTCGCCGCGGCCTCAGTGAGAAATTGCTGAAACGATACTTTGGACCCTACAAAGTGCTTCGTCGACTCGGGGATCTGAACTACGAGGTGATGCCCGACGGAACAAGGACTTCGTCACGCCGCCCTCCACGACCGGAAGTCGTCCACGTCGTGCGACTGAAGCCGTACTACGCTCGATAGGACTGTGGACCTTATGTGACTCTTTAGTTTACCGTTCTGTTTTATTTGATTCATTTCGTTTTTGGGTTGCATCGGGACGATGCGCTTTTTTAAAGGGGGGAGTAATGCCGCGCGTGCAGCTGGCCAAGTAGGCAGCGCGCGCGTGGCCTAACGGTTATCGCGCGTGCTTTCCACGCTGAAAGCCAGGGTTCGATTCCTGGCCGCGGAGGCGCATTTTTGTTGACTCTGTAAAGTAATGTTCTGGTAAATTCGAGAACCATGTTGCTTGTTCGAGGTCAGAATGCTCTACGCGCCGAACCTTTTACGCCGAACGACCCAGAAACCCACGAGGGTACATAAGGGATTCCGCAAGGCGAACGGAGTCAGTTTCGCGCCAGCGTTCGACTCTGCTGCTACGCCGACTTCGACGCCCGCGGCGCTCTATTATTATCTTTTGTACTCGTTTGTTTTTGGCACAAGTTCGCCACATTAAACGTTTATTTCTTTCTGTTTATTTCCTGTTTTTTTTTTGGTCACCACCCGTGACAATATAATGCCCATAAATCTATCACACATGAAATATTCAATGTAATAAGAACAGCGCGAAAACGAACCAAGTCAACAAAATAATCACGCAAGACTGTGGGTTAGGACGGAGTTTAAAGCCAATTAATGGAGCAGAAAAAAAAATAGAACGTCCGGGTACTGTCCTGGCTGTAGGATTTCTGCCTCGCGCGTCTCCGCGTTCCTCGGACGCGCTCTCCGACGCTGGCGTCCCGGGGAACGCCTCAGAGGCTAGTGTCTCGCGTTTCGGCCACTTTATTTAACAATGTATATGGAACGCCCAATTTCTGGTGCGTCGGTGGCTCAAGACAAACGGACGTTTACCCGCCACTGGCAGTTTTAATCAATGTGGAATGCAAATAAAAATTTAGCTCCGAGGGCACGCAGCACACAAAGGATCTCCAGTTAGCATTTCAGATGAAAGGGGGTGCAAAATTTTCTCGTACAAAATAAAAAAAAATATCGAAAAAAACGTTTGTGATTTACAAATGACCCACGGAGTGCTTGAGAATAAAGATCGTAACTCGGCCTTGACTACTGAAAAAGAGGGCCGGCCTATGCGTCCTTCCCCGGAAAGTCTGATGTTGAAACGCTTCCGAATTCCCCCCTCCCTCTGCTCTTTAAATTAGCCCCCGATCCCGGTCTTTGAACACATGAGGGGGCACCGACACCTGCTGCTACGGACTGCCCAAGGGCCCCGCATATTCAAGGTTTGACGGCCGTACACAGCATACCCTACCCACTTGGCAGATGTATACGCCAACTCATGTTTACAAACAAACCGGAGCGCCCCTAGCGGACGTCACCGGCGCCGCGCATGCGCGGTGGACGGTGGGCAAGAAGCCCGCCGTCGCCCATAAACAAACCATTGAATTGCATTGTTGTCGGCGTCGGTGGGAGTCCCCGTGCTTTTTTTCGCGTTGGAATTGTTGATCCTACGTCCTCCTAACAATGTCCGACTACTTGAGCGGCTTCAGCAAAATTAACGAGGCAAAACTTTGCGTGAAAAATGTGACTTGCGGCGATTCATTTCACGTGGACGCCGCAGAATGGGCGCTAAAGCCCGACTCGCACGATGAGATTCTGCTCGCTATTTTCAGTCGCGACGTCGCTCGGGCTACAAAAGCGTGGACCGTAGCTGAGATGGTAGACGTCAATACTGAAAACGCAAGTGGAATCGGAAGTTACAAATCGGTGATGGCCACTGGTAACAATGATCAACATCTTCTTGTATTTACTGTTTAGACTTAGCCTACTTACCCCACACAACCTTCAAGAGTGTTTTGAGGCCTGCACTTAGTTCTTATCGCAATTACCGGGTCAACGTTTGGTTTACAGGTCGCTGTCGTTTGAACTAGAGCTGACAACAAAAAGCAGACAAGTTTGAAAGAGCAGACGACAGTTCGAACGTTTGCGCAATTGAGTGCGGGCAAGAAGCACCACGTCCCGCGTCAACAAACCATTGCAATGTCACGTTGTCGGCGTCTGTGTGAGTCTGCATACTGTTTTTCGCGTCTGAATTGTCTATTCTACGTCCTCATAGCAATGTCTTACCGCTTTAGTCGCCTGAGCAAAATTATCAAGGCTCGTTACACCGCTAAACTTTGCGTAAATAATTTGACGTGCGGCGATTCATTCGCGTGAACGCCGCAGAATGGACGCCAAAACCATGATGAGATTCTTCTAGATATTTTCGGTCGCGACGTCGCTCGTGCTGCAAAAGTGTAGAAGGTAGCGGCGATGATCGACGCCGATACCGAAATTCGGAAGCGGGAACAGGCCAAGCGTAACAGGTCGGTGATGGCTACTGGTACCAATGATCAACATCTTGTATCTAGTCTTTACACCGAGCCTACATAAGTCTTTTGAGGCCTGCAATTACTTCTTATTGCAATCACCGGGTCAAAGTTTTGTCTACGGTGCGCTTTTGTTTGAACGAGCAGACGACAAAAAGCAGACAAGTTCGAAAGAGCAGACGAAAGTTCGAACGATCATGCGGCCTTGTGAATTTGAAGACGCACTAAACCCGCGGGTCGCCCGGACAACTTGACGGTTTTCTCTCGTTCATGTTGGAACAAAACAAATACATCTGCCGACCACAAAGTGTTGCTCGCACAAGCAATCGTAGTTCGACAGCGTCTTGTTTACCCTTTTCACGGCTACTATCCACGTACTCGGACGAACGGAGCGGGCAGAAACAGATGAAAACTGATCTTCAAACCTTTCCAGACACTTTTGCTACAGCCCCCGTCGCAGAATTTTGACGAGAACGGAGGTTTTTTTTTCTGGTTTCTCCGAAAAGTACCCAAGAATGCCAAGAATGCATGTCTCGCGCGGCGACTTCTGCCCACCGCCCCAGACCGGAAGTGCGACCGACGCGCCACCACCGCGGCGTGACGTAGGAGAGTTGAGTTCGTGTATAGGGGTCCACATATCTTTAGCACAAGACGGATTTGCGCTCTCTCGAGAGATAACCCTTCTTGGAAAACTGAGTGGATTATTAGAAGGTAGAGCAGCGGCTAAAATAGACAAAGAACTTAAGCAAAGTGCCCGCACAAGGCGTTAAAAGAGTTGAGAGTTGGTAAATGATTATAAAGAGGAAAAAGAGTGCATTGTACGTGTACGGTTAGTGCTATGCATGGAATAGCGCAATAAGTCAACGGCCGGGACGGTCGTTGACCTATTGCGTTATTGCGATTAGAGGCTATTGTCTACCCACTCGTCCTTCAAACCAGAGCTAGGGGTTCCGACATTACCGCGCGCTCTCTCGTCTACTGCTTCCTCAATATCTGCCCGCAATGCTTTCGCTACCAGTACAGTCGTCTATACGCCTTGCCAGTTCGACGTCATAAAAGTCCTTAAATACTGTAGAGCAGTGCATAAGGAAAGGATCATTCCCGTGTGAATCCACTTTAAAGTCACATTGATAGCTGCGTCACTTTAACGAACACTAATGTATCCTTGTGTAAACTGCACCTATAGGCCTGGCGCCTTTCTTGAAAGGACATTCATCAATATCTGCTTAAAGAGGGACGCTGATTTATTTTATGCACACGAAAGCCCTGTAACGTACGCGGCGTGAGACTCAAGTGGTGCGATGCCGCAACTGCGGCATCACTTTACCCTAGTCTCGAATTAGACGTTAGCGGGTTAAACAGCGCCCGAAGCTGGTCTACGATATTACGCCCATACATTTAATCACAGTACGTCCGCATGCAAATTGCGTAGACGTCGGGCCGGCGTAAAATCACTTCGAGCAATATTTGTAATAGTTACATACACAATCAGTAAAACAAGCTATTAAGAAAATGTATGCAAATAATCGTGTAAACTGCTTGTGCTTACTATGTTTATCGCGCTCGATACAGAAAATAAGTGATTACCTGAAACGAACTCCTTCAGTTCCTGTGCCGTAGTTTCTCTTCGGTGAGATGGCTTTAGGACCACAAAAGCCTTTCCCACATCATTGTATTCCGGATGGGGAACGTCAACCACGGCCGCTTCTTCAATACCCTCGTGAGTCAGCAAAACAGTCTCAATGTCCGACTGCGCAACTTGGCGTCCCATGCAGAGAAAGAACTGCTTCAATCGTTCGACAAGGTAAAACCGTCCAGTCTCGTCGTAGTAGGCGATGTCTCCTGTGGACGCAATGGCAACCATTAGCCAGTTATACAGGACCAGACCTGTAGATATTGCGTTACCTGTACGTAGTTACATCTTTTCGCTAATGAAGTGACGACGTAGTTACCTTTAAAATAAAAAAAAAAAAACGAGGAACGTAATTTTCTCACTTTTTGACGAAGTAAAGCGTAATGACATTTAGTTACTTCTGCAGGGGTCCGTCTGCAACACAAGTGCTATAGGTAGTTTTCACCCCAGTTCGCGCCTGTAATTTCCACAAGAAAATGCACATAAAAAGACGTGCACAGGGTATGGTAATTTGCACATAAAAATATGTGCATAGAGTATGTCAATTTGGGACTGTTCGGCTGGCGCAGGGGGGGGGGGGGGGGCGGGTGGGGGGGGGGGGGGGGCGCTCTGGAGCGATATTTGAGGCGCCGCGCCGTGGTGCAAATTCGCCCTACTGTAACGTTCGCGTGCCCCGTCGTGCTGTCGGTTGCAATAGCGAGCAGCTCGTTGTAATATTGCGGCTTTCGCCCTGTCGAAAAAGCGGTGATTATATATATTTTTTTTTTTTTTGAACGGAAACCTCTACAAAGGAAGGTTGCCTGTGTGCCAAGTCCCCGGGGTAGAGGAGATAATCCAGAGAGAAGAGCATTTGTCGACAGCGAAGTGCGTCTCGCAAGTGCGAGGCAGCGTCACCTAAGACATCCGTCTCAAGACAAATGCTGTTTGTATTTATGGTTTCGCTCGCTCTTGAGAAGTCCGAGCTATTCGGACAAAGATGAGGATACTGTATTGCTTAAATTGTCTTTCCGCGTACAGCTGGGCTGTCGCAAACACTGCTTGAACCATGCAAGCCTCCTTGCAAAGTCTGAGTTACCGGTTGCTGTGTAAATGACGAGACATGCACAGTCAGGCCGCAACAGTAGGTAAAACCATTCAAAGAAACCGAAGTGGGACGTGAAAGTGACACCGCTCATCTGTTCCCAGGTATTCTGAACGGATCGAATAACAAACTCCGAAAAGATTTTCTATTCACTCCGACACCCTGTGTTTGCGCATATGTAGCACTGCCGTCAAACCGGTAAATTACGGCGCTGCGTCGTAACGACGTACTTTACCATGCACGTATACGACACACGGAGCACGCACGTCCGCGTCACGCGTACGTGCATAGTGCGTCGAGACGCACGTGCGTCGTCACGCACGACGCACGTACGTGAGTTGGTAACAAAAACTCGCACCTTTATGAGTAAAAGGAAGGACCACCGATCAACTTGCACTTGTGCCATTAATGTCGCCTTTATTTGTTATTTTTATAAACATTTCTAACTTGGATACAGGCCACTACAAATAAATTTCAAGTTTTGAACAAAACCAGTGTTTTTTCCGTCCCTTTCTATGTGTTACTTTCCTTAAGATGTATGTAAGGTTTCTAGTGGGATTTTCTCTTTTGTTTGCTGTCTCGGCACAACACCAGGAAAGGACATCGATATTTACCTTATTTTATTCCATAAAATGTGGTTAATTATGAGTTCTAGTCATAAAATTTCAGATATTTACCTTAGTGATGTGTCCTGCTCTGATTCTACTTATTTTACTTCTTTTTTATACCTCTATAATTACCAGCACGCTCCTATTCGTCGATCTAGGAATGTTCTTGAGTCAAATGTTTTAACATTTCTTGGAGAGCAGTTAGGCGTGATGTAGGCGAAATACATTCTTTTTGATAATATACGTAAAAAAAAATTAGAGTACAGCCAAAAGTTCCAATTTATTCAACCCTGTGTTGAAGTCAGTGCGCAGGGCGGGCTACGGCCTCATTTTACCTAATGCCTTTGGCAGCTTACTGGCCTTCTCTTGTAAGCATCGGTGAAAAAAACTGGCATGTAAGCTAAATGAAATGTCCCGTTTCCCTTTAATCGCAAGCGAAACCGAAGCTACACGCGCAACATGTGGCCCTAAACAGTGCTTGCACTGCACGAGCGCGCGTGCGTGGCGGGGACACTTGAAAGTCCAGAGCTCGTTGTTGTCCCTTCTGCCATGCTCGCACTTAAAGTGAAACGGAGTATGTTCCCATTTTAAAGTTACTTAGAAAATGGCAACTGCATATTCCGGTTTCTTTCATCAACATCCACGGGGAACTATCGTATGTTTACGTTAGGGACCTCTGGTAGATCATCATCTGCGGATTGAGGACCCTGTGGGTGCGAGCTCCGTCCGACCTCAAAATGACGGCACGGGCTCCAACAAACAACGCAAAACCCTTGCATGCTCTTTCGTGGGATATACGAAGAATCCCTATTAATATGAAAAGTAAGCGTAGTTGCGCAACTGAATCATACGACAGTATTTCATGAAAACTTTCCTATGCGCAGCTTCTGGCGATCTTTTTGGAATTACCTCCCAAGAAAGGAATGAAACTTATTGGGACACATATTTCCCTTTCTGTTTATTATGCTGTTGTGGCATTTGATTACAAAACCACAACAATACCTGGTGCACTGTTCTTTTGCCTTCGGTAGGTTGCTTTACAAAGCGCGAGGCCAGCACAACAAGCGCAGCAGCCTCCCGCGTCGTCTGCCCCGCGTACGCCTTAAAGGGGCACTGACACCCCAAAGGTCGTGTTTTTTTTTGTTTTTTTTTGTTTAAAACGATGCAAGTTGTGATCATTGACACCGAAATATTAGCCCCGTGCGCGACCGAAAGCGTCGCTGTGGTCGGCCTTCCACGATTGGCCCAAAAGCTGACTATGACGTCGGAAAGGGTATACCATCGACGGAAATAAGAGGAATGAAAGAACTTTAATTTCGACGGTGTTGGCAGTGTTGCTTTGAGAGCGCAATGATTTCAGGCTTCCACCATGCTATTTACAAACACCATCGAACTTGTTGTTCGCAACGTAATGACGTCACAAGGGGGAACCATAGGAGGGCGCCACCAAAACATCTCGCCGCTAATACCACAACGCAAAAACAAATACTCGCTCGCCCGCGCGCGCGCCTTTTTCTTTTTGGCCTTTTTTTTTCTTCCTCTTCTCACCTCCTCGCTTTTTTTATTTGTGACGTCCAAAATTATAAAACTTAGAAGCTATGTAAGCAACATTTATACAATGTTTAATAAGGACATTCTTAAAAGATGCTCTCTAACGCAATTGCAAACGCACTATGGCCCTTCGTTTTGAAATACCGGCATGTACTGACACCGGCATGTGACGAGCCGCAAAAGACGACTCGCGCGGCTCGTGCGAGCTCCGGTGCCGCGCGTGCGAGCGCGAGAGAAGGAGATCAAAATAATCAAAAACACAAAAGTGTTTTTTCTTTTGTACATCAGTCAAGTACCTTGGACACATTGTCACGAAGCATGGAGTTTTACCGGACCCGTCCAAGTCTGCAGCTGTCCATAGGTTTCCGGCTCCCCGCAACATCCAGGAACTCCAATCCTTCATGGGTCTGACATCTTACTTCCGGAAGTTTATACCGAATTACAGTGTTCTTGCTGCTCCTTTGCGCGAACTTCTCAAGAAAGAAACAAACTTTCTCTGGAATGAAGAACAAGATGCAGCGTTTGGAGCTCTCAAGGATGCCCTGTGTGAACCACCTCTCCTTAAGCTTTTTTCGGAAGACGTACGCTTTGGCGTCCAAGTTTACACCGACGCTTCCAAGCTTGGGCTGGGAGCATTCCTATTGCAAGAGGACGAAGACGGAAACTTCAGACCTGTAGTGTGCTTGAGTCACTCCCTCAAAGGTTCCCAGTCCAACTACACATCAACAGAGATGGAAGCTCTTGCCGTCAAGTGGGCTCTGGGTGAGCTTCGCCCGTACCTCATGGGTCGTAAGTTTCAAGTTGTTACCGACCACCGTGCTCTCTGCTGGGTGATGCGGTACAAGGAGGGGGACCAACGCTTATTGCGCTGGTCGCTCATCCTGCAGGAGTTCGATTTCGAGGTCATCTACAAGTCAGGAGCTCTACACAGAGCGCCAGATTGCCTCTCCCGTACTCCGCAGTCAGTCAACACGGGAGCTGGGTGAGAAAGTTCTCTGTGTCACATCTTCGGCCTTCTTGGAACGGGCTGAGGATCTTTCACGTGACCAACATGAGGATTCATATTGCCAAGACGTTTTCAAACTTCTGGATGCAAGTGCTGGCACACGTAAACAGCAGAGGCGAGCACAGCACAAGTTCGTCCTTCATGACGGAGTCCTTTACCGGAGGGATCAAGGCCCCATCAATCAACGTTTTTTGGTCTGCCTTCCTGACTCGAAGAGAGTCGAAGTTTTGCGCGAATTCCACGGAGGAAAGTACGGCGCACACATGGGCATCAGACGCACCTTCGAAGCTATTCGCACAAAATATTTCTGGCCGAAACTCTTCAGAGACGTAAAGAACTTTGTCACGCATTGCGACCTCTGCCAACATATGAAGATGTCATCTGTGGTACCTCTTGGACTGCTGCAACCGATTGAAGTCCACTCCCCGTTTCACATGGTAAATCTAGATATTGTTGGACCATTTAAGGCATCTCGAGGCTACAAATACATCATCGTCGCCATCGACTACCTCACGAAATTTGTTGAGGCCAAGCCTGTGCGGAACATTGAAGTGGTTACGGTACAGAAATTCATCGAGTCGAATAATTTTGAAGCACGGTTGTCCAGCAGTGACTATCACTGATCGTGGCACTCAGATGATGGCACGCTCGACTTCGGCGTACCTTCAACACCGTGGCATCCAGCACTCGCCTACGACAGCGTACCATCCTGCTGCAAACGGCCTCTGCGAGCGGGCAAACAAGACGCTCAAGCAGATGATAAATTTGACAACAGCCGGAGGCGACAAGTGGGCTGACGTCCTTACCTACGTCGTGTTCTGCTATAATACCGGATTCCAGGACACCGTTCGTCAGTCACCTTTTTTCCTAGTCTACGGCCGTGAACCTGTGCTCCCTCTTGACGTCGTTTATGGACGCCAGGAGCTCGCTGAACTACGTGATGCATCGGTCTATTCAGTATTT